CTACCAGGTATACTCTAAAATTTTGATTACACCTTAGTTTATCTGAAAAAATTAACTAATTCTTTTACATATATATATATATAATATTTATATAATATATATTATATAATATTATGTATATTATATAAATATATTATATTTTATACATTACATATTATATAAATAAATATATACATATATGTATATATTTAGTTGTAGAAGGACACAATAACTTTATTTTATTTTTATATGGTGCTGAGGATCAAACCCAGTGCCTCACATATGCCAGGCAAGCATTCTACCTCTGAGCCACAGAATTGTATAACAATTCTTTTTTTTTTTGTTGTTATGTTAAGTTTGAATAAACAAAGTTTACATTTAAATGTATAATCCTTTTTATGGAGAAAAGAAGACATACTTTCAGAGGGAAATTCTTTTTTTTGGGGGGGGGTACCAGGGATTGAACTCGGGGCACTTGGCCACAGAGGGAAATTCTTATGCTAATGAATTTTATGTCTTAAAAAGTAAGTGTCTGAAAACATATTTCTTCTTCTTTGAGAAATAAAAAAGCCCAGGAAGTTGCTATTTACAAAAAATAAGTGGCAGAGGCCTTTCTTTCACACTTTTAGAAAATCAGACTTACTAAATATCACTTAGTAAGTCAAAACAAAACACTACTTCGAAGCACTTAAAATACTATTATTTTGAGGGAACAAAAAATTTAATATTTTATATTTTTATATAAATATTAAATATTTTGAGGGAACATGAATATTTAAATGAGAACAAAAGTAAGTAAGTATTTGTTACAAAAGTATTTGTTAGATGGACTGTATTAGTTTTTTTCAATCTGGATTTTCTGGTGTGAAAAAATATTTCATAGTGTGATCATGATTATGAACATTTGTTACAAATCACTGAATTTTACTCTTAAACTTGGTGAGTTTTTTGGTATAAATCATATTTCAGTAAGGCTGACAGAAAAAATAAAGTGCTTTGGGACTTAGCAGAGGACTGGATGGAATTCCAAGGAAGGGAGTTTCTATGGACAAACTATGACACCAACGTAAGAGATGAGAAGAGAGGTTATTTTAATCAAAAGCCAAGTGTAATGAAACTGTTAGGAAAATGATTCAAGATCTGTGCCTTACATGCATCCCATGAAAATGAGAGGGGTACAAAAGGTAATCAGTGAGAGAGTCAAGTGGTGTGGAAGGTAGTTCCTTCAACTCCCATGAATTAATTTGCCCTAATTAGGTGCACGTAAGGAAAATCTAATGTATTTCAAAAGGATCATGTTTGAAAATTGTAATATGAAAGCAAAAATGAGAAGAGAAACAGATAAGCCCATGTTGATTTTATTGTACAATAAATGGTTCTTTAGGGGCTGGGGATGTAGCTCAAGCGGTAGCGTGCTCGCCTGGCATGCGCGCGGCCCAGGTTAAATCCTCAGCACCACATACAAACAAAGATGTTGTGTCCACCAATAACTAAAAAATAAATATTAAAAACTCTCTCTCTGTCTCTCTCTCTCTCTCTCTCTCTCTCTCTTCTTTCTCTTAAAAAAAATGGTTCTTTAAAATTGGGACTCCAGGCTTCAAATAATCATAGTTCAGAGTCATATAGTTTAGCTAAATCAACTACTTATTTCAACTGTCTGGCCTCAAAAATGATGGCAGAATTGATGCTATTTTGAGGATTACCATTGATTGCTACCCTTGAAATTATTGGATTGATTACACCTTACCTGGCAGTTAATAGACCACCCATTTGCCTTGATTTTTAAGTACTTAGTTAATGATATGTAATATGTAATTTGGGCAAATATTGTATGTTCTCTAAGCAGGTTATTACTTTGTACAGTTTCCTTGGAGAAAATTTCTTTTATACCCACTTAAAAGTAAGCTATGTCTGTATGGCATATCGCTTTATAAAAACAGAAGCAAAAATAATTTATCTATGAGCTATTATCCAATGACAATCACTGTTATCATTTTGATGTATTTCCTTCCAGTCTTTTTTCTGTACATAGTTGATTTTGTTTCTTTTATTTATTTGTGATCTTTCTCTATGAAAGTCTATGCTCACTTTTTTGTTTTTTTTTTTCTTTTTCTTTCTATGGTACTAGGGATTGAACTCAGGGGCACCCAACCACTAAGCCACATCCCCAGTCCTGTTTTGTATTTTATCTAGAGACAGGGTCTCACTGAGTTGCTTAGCACCTCGCCTTTGCTGAGACTGTCTTTGAACTCAAGATCCTCCTGTCTCAACCTCCCGAGCTGCTGGGATCACAGGCATACACCACCACGTTCAGCTGTTTTTGGTTATCTTTATGATGCATTTTTACATGTTTGATTTTTCTTTTTTACAAATATCCTTTTAATTGTTCCATTCGGTTTAAAATATGCCATACTTTACTTCCCTAATCTTGCTTTTTCATACTGTATTACACATAATGAAATCTAAAAACACATTTTTTTTGAGAGAAAACTTTTATTTGCTTTAACTTTTATAACTTTAAAGCAGAAAGTTACTAAATTCTACAATTATGGTATCTAGGCTCAATCTATTGAATTTTAAATAGTCATAGGTAATTGTAATAAAAGAGATGATCTTATTTTCTTGAAGATGTTTCCCTTAGGTTATTATTTGATGATTTACATGCACTTGATAATAAACTTTAAAAGGGTTTTACATATAATACACCTTCTGTCTTTGTGGTCTCTATGGGTTATTTTCTTGAACTCTCCCCAAATAGCCATAAATGACTAATGGATGGGGCTGGGGTTGTGGCTCAGTGGTAGAGTGCTTGCCTAGCATGTTTGCGGCACTGGATTTGATCCTCTCAGTACCACATTAATAAATAAATAAACAAATAGGTTATGCTGTCCATCTACAACTACAAAAATAAAAATAAAAATGGGTGTACTTCATGTCTTGTGATAGACCAGTCACAGGCTCTGAGTTTCTTTCTTAAAATAAGACCCTTGATTTTCCATTTTTATACATCTTGTGGGTTTCCTACTCCTCAATGCCCTTGAGTTTAAGGCTCAAAACTACTTCCTCTTTAAAGTTTGCCTCATTTCCTGTCCATTCATTTCCCTGACTTTGGTTGGCAGATCTTATTTAACAAGTAAGATCAATCAATCAATCTATCTCTATATCTATCTATCTATCTATCTATCTATCTATATTTTCCTTCCTATCCCTGGATAATTGAGTGAAACAAAGCTTTTCATCTCTTTCCCTTGTAAGGAAATTTCCTTCCACCTGGAGATTGATTTTGAGTATGTGTGATTAAAAAAATTGGGGAGGATTGGTTATTAATTAGAGTTTGTTTTGTGTGTTTACTTCTTTACATGTGGGTTATCAAGGAGCAGGTGACTCAGAAGGCACTGTGTACTCACATGCACTTTACACTTATCACCAAGGGTGTCTACCCTGCCACCCCTGGGGCATCCTTCACCTGCTGCCATCTCTCACAGGTAGACCAAAGCTGCAAATGAAAAAGAGCAAAACGGATGAAAAGGTAGCTCACTTCTTTTCTTCTGAAGGGTTGTTCTTTTAAAAGTTTTTTTCCAAAATAAATTTGAGTATTTTCTTCCCTAGCAAGTAAATAATGTCTGATATTCAGACAGTTTAAAGCTGATTCTTTTCCTCACACACTGAGTTGGATTAAATTAACCAAGTTGTGTGTGAGTGTGTGCGTGTGTGTATGTGTGTATGCATGCACATGTCACATAAGCAGTATCTTCATCTAAATTTAACCTCAAAGCTTTCTTGGTAAATGTGTGGCTTTGATTCTTTTCTCTCAGTGGGACAGTGAGCTTCAGATAGGATTTGGAGAAGAGGAATCAAATGCTCCCTGTGAGAGCTGCTCTCCTGAGCCCCAGGAGGGGAGCAGGTCTGCTTGGTTTACCTCCAGGTCAGGACAGACCAGTTGATACCAGATGTTAGAACACTTAAGTTACTGATCATCTTTTTTCCAATTTGTCTCATCCTAAATCCCTGTATTTTAAAACATATTGCTTTAGGATGAGTCTTCCTAACACATTATTATTTATTTGAAATCTTTCTGGTCCTCTAATGAAGGGAAAATAAATTCACAGTATATATAAGAAACAGACAGGTTTGGAATGGAGTTTTCTGAAGAATTTCAGAGGTACTACTCCTAAGTGTAAACATTGATATAAATGTTCCATTCATGTGGAAAATTCATTTTCCATTTGCTTTCCTTCAAGTCCCATGGTGGAGGAGTTTGGGAGGGTATATAAGGAAACTGCACTTGATATAAGCTAATATTTGCAATGTCAATTCATCAAATATTTATGGAGGAATACTTTGTGCCTGGTACTGACCTCAAGGTTCTCAGGGACAAAGACGAGTAGTGATTGTTCAGTGAGCTGATGTACTAGAGGAAAAGGGCATGTGACTATATCACTAAACTACAGTGTAGAAATGGGCCCAGGTGGGGGTGGGGCGGTTCAGGTAAAAGCCAGTGTAAACATAGAAAGGGAGCAATTAATTATGACTGAGGTGGTGGGTGAAGGGACGTCAGGAGAAGCTTCAGAGTAGATGATCCATTGACTTTGAAGATCAACAGCAGTTTGCCTGGGTCTGTGGGTTCCAGGAAGAGGGAACATTTCTCAAGGTGCATTTGAGAGATATTTCCAAGGTCAAATGGGCATGCTTTATTGATTGTGGCACCAAAAGGAGGAAAGTAAAGGAAAATTCTGAAATGCTTGCTGCAGGCACCCAGGTGATGGTGAGTCTGTTAACTGAGAGATGGGAGCAAGTTTGAAGTGCCTGAAGGAGATGAGTGCTTCTTTTTCTTCAGGGCTTGAGCAAATTTGTGGGTTAAAAAACCAGTAGAGAAGGAGATAATGATGATCCAAGAAAAAGGAGATGATCGATAGGGTGAGTCTGCAAGAAGAATATTAGCATGTTTTCCTTTTGAGACAAGCAGGAAGAAGGAAAGTGTAGCTGATGATGAAAATGAACTTTGAACTGGTAGAAAGAAATGCCATTTATAATACCTGTATTTCCTTCAATAAGGGGATCGTCTGAGAACAAACGGAGGGTAGAGACCAGGGTTTGTGGATACTTATAAAGATGCAATAGCTTCTTTGAAAAGTGGTCCAGTCAGCCATTAGGCATGAGAAACATTTGTTGGGTAGTGACGGTCTGGCCGAGGCCAGTGCTCATTTGTTTGTACTGGAACCAGTGCACAGCTTTCCACGATTTTCCGCATTCCTGGGAAGCCTGCAAAAATCAGCAAGAAAAAATGGACAGATGGGTTGATCCAGGGCTATAAAATGGCTGGGAAGATTTTGAAGAAAGATAATAAGTGGTAAGAAAATCCAAGTATTCTTGACTATGGTGTTAAAGGATAAACTGTGGAATTCCAGAGATCAAGGATAGGTAGTGAAGGAAATTAAGCATGAAAAGATCCTAGGGGCTAGGAAAATCAGGAAGGGCAAGTGCCAGGAAGGCTGCAGGAGATTCTAGTAAAATAGTAGGAAGGAGGAAGGAAGGGAGAGATGGGAAGTGGGGGGGGGAATGTTATAGGCAAGGAGAAGTGGTGTTTTTACCCATACCCAGTTTATTCATTCATACATTCTTTCCTTTAATAATTTAAATACTTATTTTTTGTTACATTATCATAAATATAAAATATTTCTATTTTGTTACATTAAATGGAAACCTAAAAGCAACCTTCTATCTTATCCTGGCAATAAAATATTTTACTTAAAAAAAGCCCTCATTTTAAAGTCTTGGCCATATTATGTGTAGTTTATCTGGATATATGTATCACATAATATAAATACATAAATGAATTATACTCGTGATTAAGGGAAGTGAATGCATTTTTTATGTTGTTGTTTGTAGCTGGGTTATCTCCCACTTTATTAGCAAAATAAAAATCAAATACATAGAATTTTCCTAACATTATCATGTACATGTTAAAATTAAATAAGGGTAAAAATTTAAACACAGGTGAAATTTCTAACCTAAGCTTCTTTTAGTTTTACACGTAAACAATTTACTCCCTTCTTGCAACTTTCTTTCCCTCTCATTACCATTTTTGTGTTCTCCCGTTTGGGGATCTTTGTTGTAACATGGACCCCATGATAGCTCTTTTTACTCTCCAGATCTGTTTCCTTAATGAGCAGAGCCCATAGAAACATTATTAACAGGGGATGTTCCTACTCTGTAAGTAATTACCTTTCTCCTGTAATGTTGGCGTCTTTTATTTGGAGAGCCTCGTTTACTCTGAAAGAATCCCATTTGGTTCCCTGAAGGAAAGTAGATGAGCAGATGGTTCCCACAGCTGCAAAATGGGAATGTTCGTGGGTTTCTGAAACCGTACTGAAATTGCAGAACTCTCTGTGGCCGTGATATGATATGCTCCTGGAAACAGCCGTAGATTCAGGGCTGGACTAGAATGCAGGTCGTTTGCCAAAAAGACACCCTTTAATCCTATTGAGATCATTCTGTTTCTGTTTCCTGAAGTTAACCTGGCCTCCAGGAAGACTTTGCTCTGGAGTTTTTCTTTCAACCTTTGTCTCCTCTGTTTTTCTCTCTCTTTTCTATCTGTTTTTCAAATTGCTTTGAGGGTGCAGCTGCACATCAGTGGTTTTTCTCTTACTTCCCATTCCAAGTTCCTTCACCAGATTTCAAACACAATTTATCATATCAAATTGAGAATAGAGTCAAGATCATCAGATTGTCCCTCATTTAAGCTATGCATCAAGAGATCCTGGACTCATATTGCTGTATTCTTCCTTATCACAACAAAACAAAGACAAGCCCTCTGCACTCTGGAACATGGAACTTGGCAGCCCCCATCCCTACCCTCCAGAAATACAAGACTGTCTTACTATTTTTCCAAGAGCTTTGAAGTGGGTTTTTTGATACCAGGGAACAGGTATGTGAACAATTAATATCTCCAGAACACAAGACTTCTTCCTCTGGAATATGCTCAGCACCAGACATCTTGCTAATGCTTAGAAATGCAGGCATCTACACTTCATTATGATGCTATTAAATACATTGAACTAGCCTGATCATAAGAATCTCCTGGAGGAGAATATTGAAAACAGATTCTCTGTGGTCTTTCAGGTACATTTGGATTCAGTAGATCTGAGGTAGTGAACAGGATTTTCTATTTTTTATCAGGCAGCTGAAGAGACTTTTAGGACCAGATAAGTGATCTTTAAACCCATTTAAAAAAATTTTTTTTGTAGTTGTAGATGGACAGAATGCCTTTATTATATTTGTTTATTTTTATGTGGTGCTGAGGATCGAACCCACTGCCTCACGCTTGCGAGGCAGGCACTCTGCACACTGAACTACAGCTCCAGCCCTTTATCCCTGTTTTTAAGATGAAGAGGTGAAGGTTTTCTACAGCTGCACTGCTGAATATGATAGCCACACATGGCTATTAAAATGAAATTATTAGTTTAAAAAAGTAACCATGTGAGATTTGACATATGTTAACCTGCTTTGCAGACGCCACTTACTAGACAATGCTTTTATAACACAGGAAGGATGTTTCTTGAAATGTTTCTTGAAACCTTTCTTGTAATGTTTGCATCTTTTATTCAGAGAGCTTACTGTACTCTGAAATAATCCCATTTTGTTCCCTGAAGGAAAGTAGCTGAGTGGATGGCTTCACAGCTACAAAATGTGTTCTGAAGATAAAGTAACTTGGCGAAGGATAGGTAACAACATGGTGGAATTAGCTTAACAGGGATTTGGACCTGCACCTTTCTGGAGAAGAATCCTGTGCTACTCCAAGTTCATCTTTGTTTAGCAGATTGAATCTGTGTTGAGATTGAACCCGCCCTCTTTAGATGTATCTGAAACCCCAGAGGTCTCCCATTTGATGTGCTAGTTAAGTGAAATAGTGGGCCCTCTCATAGTGGCTGCATGTGAACCCCTAATGGTACCATGCTCTGGGCAACACAGACAGATAACAGCTACTAATCTATTCCACAAAAAGTCAAATTTGTTTTCACAAGAGTAACCTGAACTACCTCCAATCTATATCCAATCAACCGCAGGAAATTCACCTAATCCAAGAGAGGATTCACTTTTAAAACATTTCCCTTGGCAAAATGGAAATAACAGTTTCTATTCTCATATCCAGGCAGTCCTTCATGTACTCCAAATGTTTGAAATTTAAGTCAGTGGTTTGGATTTTGGAATGCTTTTTCTTAAAGGAATGGTATTATATATGTTGCTTTGGCTTCCTGGCTTGTCCTACAAAAGTCTGCAAGGTGCATTAAGGAAATAGTGTAGTGAGGTACAATATAGAATCATAAGTTATATGTAACTGCCATTTATAGCTCTTCTTTGGTGAAACTATACAATGTACATTCCAACTCTCAATGCTGAGAATAATTCTTCCCATTCTCTGTTAACTACAGTTTTAATGGAGGGCTGGCTTAAGCTCAGGTGGGCGGGATGATATTTCTGGGCTCTTTATTAACTCTCTACATCTGCATAAAAGAGGAATGTCTCATTGGCAAAGTGGTCTAATTCCTATGGAAGGTAGTTTGTCCATTTTTGTTAAAATTTCAAATGCATTTACTCTTTGTCTTGGCATTTGACTTTTGCAAATGTGTCTGATTTCTAATACACCTGCTCAGGCACAAAAACCATATATAACATGATTTATTCCAGCATTGATTATACTTCACAAGGCAAACTGCCCAAGTATCTGTTGATAGGGAATTGATTAACCCATTAAGTCCCAAGTTTTTAATTACGTGAATATTTCAATGAAATTGACAGAGATCCATTAAAATAGCTAGTAAACCATAATCTAGAGCTTATATATCCTTAATATATCACATGTATATGAAATACCTATATTTTTTCAAATGTGCTAATCATCTCAAAAGAATAGAACACTAAAAACATAATATTTATTTCAAAAGTTACCAGGAGTGATGTATTTGTTGCTCAATTTAATTTTCTATAGGTGTTCCATATCTGGGACAATGGGACTTACCAGGTTAAACCAATGTTTCCAAACTGGAATATCATAATCACTTGGGGGACTTGCTAAAACACTGATCTCTAGGTTGCACTCCAAGGCTTTCTTATTCAGTAGGTCTGGGGATGGAGGGCAAACAGAGCTAAAATCTAGCCCATGCTGTATTCTCCATTCAGGTGGGACTGGCTGCATCTACCTTGAGGCAGGGATGCCTTTCCCTAGGTTATACATTGGTGCTATAGTTGTGGTCCTAGATGGGAAGACTACATCATAAATCTGTCAGCCTCATGACAGCCATAAATCCATTATTATTCTGATAAAAAGTCAACCTTGTTTATCCATGGGACTTGACATAATTCACCCAAAATTCATGTGGAAGAACATTGGCAAAGAATGGCTAAGAAAATTTGAAGAAGGACGAATGAGAGGATTTTCTTCTCCAGATATTGGAAATTATTCTAACACTGTAGTAACTGAGACAGTAAGGTATTAATAACAGTACTGGATGAACAGTAGACCACTGGAACAGAATAGACAGCTCAAAACAAACCATTCAAATGCAGAAGCTATATATATATGTAAGAAGAGTCTCACAATTATCTATATGTAAAAACACATTTCCAAATCGTACTCTATCAATTCATAACAGCTAAACTATGGAATCAACCTAGGTGTCCTTCAATAGATGAATGGATAAAGAAAATGTAGTATATATATTCAATGGAATATTACTCAGCTTTAAAGAAGAATCAAATTATGGTATTTTCCAGTAAATGGATGGAGCTGGAGAATATCATGCTAAGAGAAATAAGCCAATCCCCCAAAATCAAAGGTTGAATGTTTTTGCTAATATGCAGATGCTAATTCATAGTAAGGGGGTCACTAGAGAAGAATAGAGTTACCTTAGATTAGATAGAGGGAAGTGAAGGGAGGGGAGGGGAGAAGGTGTGGGGATAGGAAGTACAGTAGAACAAAACAGACATTATTACTTTATGTATATATGTGACCTCATGACCAATGTGATTCTACGACATGTACACTCAGAAAAATGTGAAATTATATCCCGCCTATGTATGATATATTAAAGTGCATAAATACATTCTACTGTCATGTATAGCTAATTAAAACAAATAAAAAATTTAAAAAATGATAAATCATACTCTACATAAAAATAAACCCTCAGTAGTAAAAGACCTTAATGAAAAAAAGCACTTTTAAAAGAAAATATAGGAGACTGTCCTCATTAAAAAAATAAAAATAAAAGAATAAAGGAGGATTTCCTAATCAAGACACTAGTGAAATTTGACTTTATTAAACTTGCAAACTTTTTTTCAACATAACACTATAATTGAAGCAAAAAGGTAAGGCACAGATCACAAAAATATATTTGCAATGTTTCTGAGAAGGGTTCATACCTAAACTCTATAGGCAATGCTCTCATATCAATAAGCTAAGATGACTTATAGGAAGAGGGTGTGGATTTATCCAGGAAACCTGAATGGCCAGTGATTATATGAAAACATGCTCAACTTCACTAGTAAACGGGAGGTAAGGTACCATTTTTAACCTATCAAAATAGACAAAAATGTTAAGTGTGACAATATCAAGAGTTTCTGAAGACATGGGAGGGTAGAACCCTGGTTCTCTGTTGCGGAGAAGTGGCTTACACACTTTGGAGGGCATTTTGCTTCAGTTTTCTGGAAACACACTCTAGGTAAGCTCACATATATGCACCAGGAGATACATGAACTAACGTTCATACCAGCATTGATTATAAGAGTTAAAAACAAAGGAAATAAGTGACCGGCCCACTAACAGGGAAAAAGGTTGCACTGTTATAGAAAGCATTTAAAACAAACTAGAATGAAATATATCATGTGTGTATATAGGTTGTGTGTATGTATGTACATATATGCATGAATGCATGTCATATATATGATGTGAGTCAAGAAAGCAAGCTGCAGAATTACAGGTAAAGTTTGAAAACATGCATAACAATGTGATTAATTGCATATGGATACAAAATATGCTGTAAGAGTTTAAAATGATTTGTAGGAATAAACAGTTTCACATGGTGGTACCTGGTGATGTTGTGGGGCAGGGTAGAGGGAGCTAAAAAATATAATTATCATAACTTGTTTAAAAAACTCTTGAGGCAAATAAGCCATAATGTTGACATTTATTTAGCTGGGCAGCAGGCATACATATTATTCACTTTATTATTTTGTATTTTTGAAATGTATCATAATTAAAGAAAATACACACATACACAAAAACCTCATTATTAGTGATCTGTAGCTCAGCATATCTCATCTCTTGCTTTAAGTTGAATACAGAGCAGAGACAAGAGAAACGTGGTTAAAGGCATTTCAAATACCACGCAGATGATAGATCTGGTCATATTAGTACCTCTTAACCTTGATTTCATGGAAAATAAGTTCTTAATTGGTAGATAAGAAAATCTACTTAATTAGTGCATTTCCCAGGGAGCCTTATGTTATTAGCCAG